GAGTGGATCGAGGTCACGATCGCTCAGGTAATAGAGCAGCGGCGTATCTACCCGAAGGTCGTGAGTTCGAATCCCTCTCGTGCCATTAGCTTTTTTTCATCTCAACGAAAAACCTTAATTAATTGTCATATATTTGAATGTAATTTATTAGCGTGAAGGGAGCGGGTTATGCTCAATTACCTCGAGGAATATCGCGAACACTTTCGGGTATTGTGAATGTGATTTATTAGAGTGAATGAAGGGGCTTGTAATCCCTAATTACCTGGAGGAATAATAATATTAAATAATAATAATTTTGAGATACTAGGTCTGCTGTACGAATGTGATTTATTTATTGACGTAAATGGAGATGCACCACCTACCCCGAGGAATTTCGATTACAGTGGGGTAGTGTAAAAAATGGGCGCGTGTAATTTAGTAGCGTGAAAGGAGGGGCTGCCCCAATTACCACGAGGAATATTAAGTAGTGTGAATGTAATTTATTAGAGTGAATGAAGGGGCTTGTTATACCTAATTACCTGGAGGAATAAGTCGAGTACTATGAGATAGTGGTCTGCTATATGAATGTAATTTACATATTAACGTAAATGGAGGGGCACATCCCCAATTTCGCCGAGGAATGTCACATACTCTGGGGTAGTGTGAATTAATGTCTCAATGTACTTATTGGCCAGAATGAAAGGTTTATCCTCACCTACCCGAGGAATATCGATTACAGTGGGGTAGTGTAAAACAACAGTGTGCGTGTAATTTATTAGCGTGAAAGGAGGGGCTGTCCCCAATTACCACGAGGAATATCGAGTAGTGAGAAAATAATTTATTAGAGTGAATGAAGGGGCTTGTTATAACTAATTGCCTGGAGGAATAACGAGAGTACTTTGAGATAATAGGTCTGCTGTATGAATGTAATTTATTGACTTAAATGAAGGGGCACATCCCAAATTACTCCGAGGAATGTCAGTAGTCAGGGGTAGTGAAAATTAATTGTGTCAATGGACTTCATTGACCTGAATGAAAGGTCTATCCTCACCTACCCCTACGAATAACGATTACAGTTGGGTAGTGTACAAAAAATGTGAGGGTGTAATTTATTAGCGTGAAAGGAGGGGCTATTCCCAATTGCCACGAGGAATATCAAGCAATGTGAATATAATTTTTTAGAGTGAATAAAAGGTTTATCCCCAACAACCCTGATGAATATCGAGTTCTTCGAGGTAGTTCGAATGAATTATGGTGTACGAATGGTAATTATTAGCGTAAACATCAGGGCTTAGCACCACCCCGAGCAATATCTAGTACTCTGAATGCTAATTATTATGTTTTTGTATGGTTGTTATTTTATCCTCAATTGCTAGCAATCGGATAAAAATAAGAGAGATGGTTACCGTTATATAACAGAATTTGGTTGGGGAAAGAAAATAAGAAATTAGTAGGATAACGCGAGAAAAACGAGGAAAGCTAAAAACGAGATGGGTGACCAATGTAGTTCGTCGGCCTAAAAACTGAAAAAGAAAAAAAATTTGCATGGAGTTTGAAGTATCAACTGAGTGAATAATGTAGATGTTTCGACGAAAGTTATCGTCATCGAACTGTAGATCAGATCAGAACAGATTGTATTGTTAATTACGGCTTTGAATTGTACACAGTTCAAAGTATCAACGTGAAGATCAGAGAACGTCCTGCCCGAAAGATTGTCATTCCTGACAGTTCATACACGCGCCTGATAAAATCAATCGTTTCGGCTGTTCGACGACTAGAAAAAGCATTCACTTTTAATGTCGTCAGGCGATTATGTATCGATTTAACAACTAACCACCCATAAGGTTAAAAAAACGGCTTTCATCTCGATACCGGAATTACGCGTTTTTAAAAATGTAATTAGAATAAGCCGTTCGTTTTTCCTAGTTGTTTTCTCACGTGACGGTTGATTGTCCCCCGACTATCACTGGAGGAGATCTATCAGCCGCTGGTTCATTGCAGTATCGCGTGGCTTGTGACATTTCTAGCCGGAGAAGTTTGAACGCTCGTGGCCAAAGGCCCAATGAGGGAATGGTAATTTCATTTTTTGATTTTCGTTAAAACGGCCGTGGGCCCACTGCATATGGCGTATAAGGCCATGATCATCGAGAACAGCGAGACCATATATGGTAGACGATCGGACTCGAATGGTGAAATTTTGAAACATCGAGAGAACAGGTTGGTCGCGTGAAAACAAAATAAAGAAAAACAAGCCAAGTTGGTTACGTTTATAGAATTCACTAATCAAAATTGTTTACCGTTTAAAAAAAATACGTAAACTGTACCAGTTTAAATTTATATTTGTAAATATTACAATAAAAAAGCACTGGGTTTCTGAAAGGCAATCCTGTGCGTCATGAGGATAATGGCACTGAGAATAAAACAATATTGCAAATCCTTTTAATTTAGTTAAAAATTCTACAATCTAATGTGATAATTTACAGTAAGTTTACTAGTTAAAAAGTAGGCTTTGTAATATATCACTATCGGTTTAACCCGCCAATGGTTCGCAGTTGGTCGGTGCTTGAGAACTTTATCATAAAGTAAATATATTTTATCACCTTGTTGATAAACCAACTCATAATTCCTACACGTCGATCGATCATACAAAAACATTGTACAAAATTGTAGTTCGTTAATACATTGCATGGTGAAATTTTGGAGAAATATCAGAGGAATTGGGTCAGTCATATTTACTCAATTCCCTACTATTTTTTTTTTTTTTTTTTTTTGTTAAAGGTCTTTCATTTTATATAAGGTAAGAGTTCACAAAATTCCAGGGGCGACGGTGTGAATCGATCTCACGACCGCGGGTCTAGCAGTTTATTTTTAAAAGTGTCTTAGGTTACAGAAAGTTTCAAATTTCTGTTTTATATTACCTATATTTTTTGTTACCTACAATAACCTTGCTAAAATCGTAACAACGGTATCACAAACCATTCCATTATTTGCTAAAATATATATGATTAGCGAATCAATGATTTTGTCCAAGTCATTGGAAGATAGCTCATATTAAAAATCAAATAGATTTGCTTAGCTTTTTGTTAAGCGAAGACATAATTTCTACCAAGTACTCCTGTCCAAACATAGCACCCTCATTTCAAAATTTCAGATATCAGATCAGTCAGTCTAAAGAAATTGTAGGGGTTCCCTATTATGTGATTATCATCCGACAATATACGACCCTACTGCCAGATAAACGACAGTTATAACTCTCAAACTTCAAGCCGAAAACATTTAGTTAAGATATACTTGACTGTTAGCAAGTTATAAGTTCCTGAAAGTTTTGGCAAATTGAAGGAGGTTCTCATTGGTAAGCCTAACTGGTAGCATGTTAGCGGTTCCTGGCTGGTTTGGCAAATTGAAGGAGGTTCCCATTGGTAAGCCTAACTGTCAGCAGGTTAGCGGTCCTGACTGGTTTAGCAAATTGGAGGAGGTTCCCGTTGGTAAGCCGGTTAGGTGGTTCCTGACAGCATTGGCAAATTAGAGGATGTTTCCATTAGTAAGCCTAACCGTTAGCAGGTTACTGTTGTATGTCGGCTTAGGTAAATTTGAGGAGGTTCTTATTGGTAAAACTGTTAGCGGTTCCTGACTGGTTTGGCAAATTGGAGGAAGTTCCCATTGATAAGCCTGTTAGGCTGACAGGTTTGGCACACTGGAGGAGGTTCTCATTGATAAGCCTAACATTCAACAAGTTAGCAGTTCCTGACAGCATTGACAAATTGAAGGATGTTTCCATTAGTAAGCCTAACTGTTAGCAGGACAGCGGTTCCTGACGGCTTTGGCATATCGGAAGAGGTGCCTATCGGACAGGCTACAATGACCTATTCTTAGGCGTGCCAAGACCGCTTTCTCTTTAAGGGATGTTCGAACGGCGTAGGGCCATTGGAAATATCACAATAATGTTTGTTTAGGTAAAAAAAATCTATAAACTACGATAAAATGATCAACAGATCAAGTTAAACTTGGCGTGTTAAAAACATTTTCTCTTTTTGGACGTTTTTTATTCTGGCTTTTGAAAAAAGCTAAAATACTTAGGGAAGACATTCACTGCGGATTGTTAAAGTTTATAGCTCATTTAACAACCATATGTCTGCTCTCCTTAATTGTCATATTTTCCTAATCTTGACAAATGACGTTGTATTCAACAGTAAATTCTACCGTCTGTGGTTTTTATCGAGTTTTTATGGGGAATTATATGCCATTTTTTCGATGCCTTTCGAAGCAATTTGCATAAGAAATTGGCCAATTCCTAGCCCTCTTCTTTCTACGGACGATTTTCATTATTTGTTTCTACCAATTTAAGGATTTAATACTTTATAATTTCTCAAAAATCATGACCATTAGATTAAAAATAGCCTGACTCGAGAACTAGCTGTTTTTTCAGTTGCTATTTAAAATACTAAATTATTAAGTATAGTTTTAACAGGTCTGAGAGCTAAGGTAAATGATGAAACGTTAGGTTTCCTCGATCTTATTCCAATGAATCAACAGCTGCAACCCTGTTGCGAAACTCTTCGTTGTCAAGATGTTGACCAACCCTTTCGTAAACGGTCGAGCCTGAATGCGGTCGCGTTGAAAAACCATCCTGGCAACAAAAGCGGCCGGAGAGAAATCACGTAGGGCCGCGGCGAGGAAAAAAGCGTCCTGGAGGAAGACAAGGGGACTCCTGCGGGTCGAAGAACCTGGGTCGAGGACCGGAAAAGAGCAAACTGGCGACATCTGATTTAGGGATGGGCTTGACTACGGGTTCTATTCTCTCAAGAAACCGTTGTCGCAAGACAGGGATAATCTCACACCTCTAATATGGAAATCCGTTTTGAAGATTGAAAGTACCCCATGAATGTCCTCTTATAATCCTACAGTTTCAGTTATTTATAAATGAAATATGCGAAAGGGAAGAGAAAGCTGTCGAATTTTCATATCAGTATTCCATAGCCAGATTATTATATATTAGAAAAACTAAGGGTATATTTTAGAAAACACAAATAATTTAACAGACAAATACATGAATTTTTAGATTCACCATTTTTTAACCTACACATTCAATCTCATTTAATTAATAATTTAACTGTCTATTAATTGAGTAAGCCTATTTTAATGGAAAAGGGCACAATAAAACACATTTACCACTTATTTCGAAGGTAGTTAGCATCCGCTCAAACCAAAGAAACATATCTAAAATGTATATAAATGTAAAAAAGACATCGGAGGATGGATCTAAAACGGAAAAGTTCATTCCACGTTGCGCATAGGCCTATAAGTATACCCTGACACCTTTTAACAGGGATGAAACGTCGTATGTACCCGATGTCTGGAGAGCATAACACGGAAGAACATATAATAACAGACCGCAAACAAGTAGGTCTGCAGATAAAGAAAAACGACCTCCTGAATGACGTACAGTCGGCTTTGAGGCGCGGCAACAGGCAGATTGCTGATCCAATCCCACGGCCACAATTACTTTTAATTTAATCTTTGTACATTCATATGTGACATATACACGGAGGATATGCGACAGATGGCGGGGCATATCGCCAATTAACCAGAGGAATATGGTATATTCTGGAGTAGTGAGAACGAAGACCGGTGTGAGAATTTAATTTATAAACGTGAATGGAGGGCACATCCCGAATTACTACGGGGAATATTTAGTACTCTGGGGTAGAGTGAATTAATGTGTCAATGTAATTTAGGCGTGAATGAAGGGTTTATCTCCAATACATTCACACTGTCGAGTCGAAATTGATAGCATCGAAAAATGGCTGGACGTGGCAAAGGAGGAAAAACGAAGGGAAAGGCGAAGACCAGGTCGTCCCGTGCTGGACTTCAATTCCCGGTCGGAAGAATCCACCGTCTTCTGAGGAAAGGCAACTACGCCGAGATGGTCGGAGCCGGTGCACCCGTGCACTTGGCAGCCGTCATGGAATACTTAGCCGCTGAAGTTCTCGAATTGACAGGCAACGCCGCACGTGACAACATGACTATCAGGATCATTCCTCGTCACTTTCAGTTGGCCATTAGGAATGACGAAGAGTTGAACAAACTTCTCTCCGGAGTTACCATCGCCCAGGGTTTATTCCCAATTACCCCGACGAATATCAAGTTTTCTGGGGTAGGGTGAATATGTGTTAATGCAATAATTTATTAGCGCGAATGGCAGGTCCATACTCAATTCCCCGACGAATATCGAGTTCTCTGAGGTAGGGAGAATAAATCTGTGAATTGAATTTATTAACGTGAATGCAGGGACCATATCCCCAATTATATCGAGAACTCTGCGGTAATGAGAATAAATGTGTGAATGCAATTTATTAGTGTGAATGAATGCTTATCAACAATTATTCTGAGGTTAATCGAGTACTCTGGGGTAGTGTGAATGGAATCTGATATGTGAATGTAATTTATTAATGTGATTGGTGGAGGGCATATCCCTAATTACCCCGAGGAATATTGAGTACTCTGGGGTGGAGTGAATATAATTTATTAGCGTGAATAAAATTGGTTTAACCACAATTCTCCGACGAATATCTAGTTCTCTGTGCTAGTGTGAATAAATATGCGAATACAATAATTTATTAGCGCAAATGGCAACTTTATTCGAGAACTCTGCGGTAATGAGAATAAATGTGTGAATGTAATTTATTAGCGTGAATTAAGAGGCTTATCCCCAATGACCTCTAGGAATATCGCGAATACTTCGGGGTAGTGTGAATTACTAACATTATTGAGAGAGCACCAAATTACCCCAGGAATATTAAATACTCAGGGGTACAGTGAACGAGGTCTGGTGTGAGAAGGTAATTTAAACCTAATTTTAACCTGCTGAGTCGATTGGAAAAAGAATTAGGATCGAAAAACAAGTAGTTTTCGGGAAAAAAAATAAATAAAAAAATTTATATACTTTTTCGATGTAAATCGACCTGCTGAATAGATTGGAAAGGGAATTAGGCTCGTAAAACACGTAGTTTTTTCAGAAAAAAATATTAAAAAAACGAAAACAAATTTATAGTCTTTTCGATGTAAATCGACCGGCTGAATAGACTGGAAAGGGAATTAGGCTCGTAATACGCGTAGTTTTTCGAGAAAATCCCAAAAAAACCCCAAAAAATTATAATCTTTTTCGATGTAAATCAACATGCTGAGTCGATTGGAAAAGGAATTAGGATCGAAAAACAAGTAGTTTTCGGGAAAAAAAAATATATATATATATATAAAAGCCACACAAAAACACGAAAAAAATAGTCTTTTTCGATTTAAATCGACCTGCTGAGTCGATTGGAAAAAGAATTAGGATCGAAAAACAAGTAGTTTTCGGGAAAAAAAAAACAAAAACAACAACAACAAAAAATATAAAAAAATTGATAGACTTTTTCGATGTAAATCGACCTGCTGAATAGATTGGAAAGGGAATTAGGCTCGTAATACGCGTAGTTTTTCGAGAAAAACCCAAAAAAACCAACAAAAAAATTATAATCTTTTTCGATGTAAATCGACATGCTGAGTCGATTGAAAAAGGAATTAGGCTCGTAAAACACATAGTTATCTACAAAAACCAAAAAAATGTATATTTTTTCGATGTAAATCGACCTGCTGAGTCGATTGGAAAAGGAATTAGGCTCGTTAAACACGTAGTTTTCGAGAAAAACCCAAAAAATAAAAAAACGAAGAAAAAAATGTATAGTCTTTTTCGATGTAAATCAACCTGCTGAATACTGGAAAGGGAATTAAGCTCGTAAAACACGTAGTTTTTCGAGAAACACCTCGGCCCCCCCCCAAAAAAAAATTATAATCTTTTTCGATGTAAATCGACATGCTGAGTCGATTGGAAAAGGAATTAGGCTCGTAAAACACGTAGTTTTCGAGAAAAACGAAAAAAAAATATAAAAACGAAGAAAAAAAACGAAAAAATCTAGTTTTTTCGATGTAGATCAAACCTTCTGAATAGACTCTGGAAAGGGAATTAGGCTCATAAAACAATAGCTTTTCGAAACCCCCCCCCAAAAAAAAAAATATATATATATAATCTTTTTCGATGTAAATCACATGCTGAGTCGATTGGAAAAGGAATTAGGATCGGAAAACACGTAGTTTTCGAGAAAAATTCAAAAAACGCCAAAATGTCAAATAACGTTTTTGTCTTGTTTTTTGAATATTGTGGTTTGTTATTTGTATTATTTTATCCACAATTGACGAGGCCCTGCGATATAGAGAGGTTAGAAATAATATAAAGAAAAGAGTGAGTTGGTTGCTGTTATATCACAAAACATCATAACTTGGTTGACTAATCAGTAAAAGTTGGTTTGAAACGCGAAAGGGTTAAGAAAAAATGCAAAACTAAAGAAGGCAGGGATGGCGCTAACCAACTTAGTTTACGGTTTTTTAATTTTAAATAAGTTTTTGATTTTTAGTTTTAAAGCTAAAAACTTACTTAAGTACATCAATCAAATACGATAAATGTGGTTGAAAACACCAAACAAGAAAGCATTCAGCAGAGAAACCATGTAGAGATTAACTTTTGGAAGAACGAGTGACATTTACAGGAACTGTTAGAGAAAGCTAAGAACAACACGTTTAGATGAAAATATAAACGAGAAATGTCAATGCAATTTGAAGCCGTTAAGTAGTTCTCCAATCACCCAAATGCTGAAATCTGGTCAGAGAATGCAATTTATTGGCGAAACAATGATTTTGTAACTCTTGGCAATATTTGATATTTAGCAATTTTTTTTTCTGGGCTAGCCAATGGTGCTTTAATTTCAATAAGGTTTTATTTGTCCAGTGCAGTTCTTTTTTCGCATCAGGATGCTGTATTTTTAACGGTAGTTTGAGAGGAAGCATGTGGGTGATTAAACAGCGAGCGACGCCGGCTCACGATCCGCTCCAAGGATCCCTCATCCTGGAAGGGCGACTGCGAAGGATAACGGAAGGGAAGTTTAGAATAAGCACTTCACATTATATTAAGTCACGTTTTACTTGTAAAGCTGGATCGGGCGGCTTAAACACCCATCGGCCCTGTACTGACATTTGTCAAGGGTTCGGTTGAAAAGTCATCGTATACAATCGTCTCTCGTCCTGACATGAGCGGACTAATCCAGGACGGAGGAAATAATGTATCAGAAGACGGGAATTGGCCGTCGGAAAATGTGGGAGTGTCCCGGCATGGCACGAAATTAAAGCTTGTTTAAGTGAATTGGGAGCATCGACCCTCTGAGCACAACAAACCCGACCTTCGGAACGCCCTGCCGACGTCCAATTTCGGCCGAATGCTGAGGGTCATCCTTTCAAATTTTGCTTTAAATACGAAGAAAAACAATACTTCATACTCACCGATACTTGCTGTTATCACACAAATCGAAATACACTTTTTTCACTCACCTGAAACAAAACAAAAATACATTGGAAACTATACAAAAATCTCATTAAACAGGGAAAACGATAATTAACAACATATCACATGAAGGAAATAACAAAAAAAATATTAAGCAATATATTAGACACAGTTCCGTTAAAATTAAAATAAACACCATTGACAAAATAAGAAAATAAATTAACTAACTCTCTGGATCAAGGTACGGTCTTGAAAAAAAAGCAAATTCAGTTCTTACTGCCAAGCATTCAAACTATTTTAAGGGTTGAATGATCATCATCAGGGCAAAATGATAAACTAATAAGCAGATTGACATATTTAATTTTTTTTTTACACGCAATCTCAAATTTCATTGAAGACCGACTCAGTCCTAACATTGCCAAGGACTGGAACAGTATTGATTCAATGAAAAAAAAATTCAGTAAAAAACTTAAATATGTCTATGACCTACACATGTTTAAGATTGTATTGCCTTATGACGACCTTAAAATACGTCGAAAGCTTGGCAGAAAACAATGTTCTGAGGATCTTTCCAGATCGTCTTGGTCTGTCTATCTCTCTGAGTTAGCTATACAGGTAATCGAGGAATATGGAGTACTTATCCCCCCCCCCATTGAATGGTATGTAAATAAAAAAAGAATGTACATGAGAATGAGTATTTAGGTTAAAAATGCATGCGTCGGTCTGAAATGAACTTGTTGTCGATAGTCCCCTGAGCTTAATCCCACCACCTTAGCACCTAAGCGGGTGATCCTCTCAGCTGGCGACAAAGTCATAAGCTTAGTTCTGCATAATGTGTACAAAAATGGATACATGGGCAAAACTCAGCCTACAAAAGTCAAAAATTAATTATTCTCAGCAATGTTAGACAAATTATTACTCGTTACCAAAGGCGATCGCATACAAATATTACTGTAAATAACTAAAACGTCGTTGGCAACAGTTTAGGCGTTGACACGGCGCACATCACTGTAAGGTAAAGGTCCCGCGTTCGAATCCAGCGGCCCTGCATTCGAACCCGACATACCTACAACAGGGCTTTTTTTCAAAAACACCGGCACCCTGCTATTGCGAACCCTCGTAAAATAAAATTTAACAAAAATAAAGGTCTAACATCTACAACTTATATACTACAATTTTGCCGCAATGCTGCACGTGGCGATTGCTATAACAAAAAATCAAGTTAAAAACAGTTCTTGAAGGCTTGTTGTTGTTCTGGTTTTCTTTTGTGTTAAATTCTAAGATTCTAAGTAAATAAAAAAGGAAAATTAATCAACTATTTCATTCAAAATGGTATCTATGTACTCGATAAAAACAAACAAATGACACGCTTCAATTCTTGCCGTCATACCTAACCTGCATCCTAACGACTACAGCCTACAACTTTATAGGATTTGGTATGTATTTATTATGAATGAGAGTATAAGGACAGGTCTGAACTTACCGAAAGAATTGTACTGATCTGATTTACTTAGTGCGTATTTAAGAATAAAAATACGCGTAAACAAAAAACAGCTGTTCAATTCATGGCTGCCATGTTGGTTACCTACGCCCTAACGGATAGCAAAGTGACTACATTTTCGACCTAACACCTAGAATTGGCCTGTTAGATCGACCAATGTTAACTAGCCGATTCTTACAAGTCTACGTCATCATTTTTCTCGATCTAACAGGACCTAACAGAGTTAACACAAAGATCGTGAATACCCCTATTAACACTGATTTACGACAATTAGATTCGAGAAATGGTGTTGTATTTTTCTGCAATTTCTTACATAGTAAAATATTTTGATATAAATGGTAAAAATCGAGTGAAAATCAAAGTGAACCTGTGACTTATCGCCCAGGTAAAGGGATTTCTTCAATTTATCTACTGGTTAATGCCTAACTTACACTATCTAAGATATAAAAAGTGGTTTCTTCCATTCAAACTTACGAAAAAAGTATTATCTACGTATTATTTTCTTTTAGAAGTTTTTAGGTCAAACGAACTCAAGTGGTACGCCTCAGCGGCATATTTAGCCGAAG